AAAAAGACACAAACTAAAAGACATCCAACATGCATGGACTGAAAGAAAAGGCTACTAAAATGTAAATGCTACCCAAAGTAAGCTATACACACTTAATGCAATCCCTATCAAATCCCAACAGCATTTTTTACCAAAATAGAAAAATCCATCCTAAAATTCATATGGAATTTCAAGGGATCCAGAATAGCCAAGACAATCTTTAAAAAAAAAAAACAAAGATGGAAGTCTTACACTTCTCAATTTCAAAACTTATTACAAAGTACGGGGAAAATGACCATCCAAGCAAAACGGTGGATGAGGAAGCCTCAAACTCACCTCTCCCCACAGAGACACTTACTTAATAAAAACACACATACTAAACTGTTTCTGTGAGATACCCGGAAACCAGGTAAGAAGTTCCTATACCCCAGGCCAATGCATGGCCAGAAAGAACTACATGGAAAATGGTAGGCACAGGCACAACACAGCACAGAACAATCAAAAAAGAACTTCCAATTCCCAGCTTCTTGTTGGAGATAAAAAAGAGAAGAATGGTACATTTAACTTTCTGGCTTTTGAGGGTGCTGCCCAAAGGACTAGTTTCTGCCTTGCATGAGCCTAAGCAGTGACAGACCTCTGATAAAGGATGTGGTTGGTTAAGGACCAGAGAGTGTGCAGTACCACAGACAGACATTAGAGTGAGCTCTAGTACCATGGCTTACCATAGCACCAAGGAAGCTGCAGCACTTGGGACAGAATTACCACAGTAATTGCACCTCTGGATATATATCAAAAGAACTGAAAGCAGAATCTCAGAGTGACATATGCATACTCATGTTCACTGCAGCATTACTCACAGTAGCTAAAAGGCAGAATAACTAAAATGTCCATCAACAGATGAATAGCAAATGAAACCAGCATATTTACACAGTGAAATATTATGCAATTTAAAAAAGAAGGAAGTCCTGCTGCATGCTACAACATGGATGAACCTCAAGCACATTATGGCAAGTGAAATTTATCAGTCACATAAGACAAATACCACATGATTCCATGTATAAAGTAGCTAAAGTACTCAAAATAATAGAAACAAATTGGAAAGGTGGTTGCCAAGGGCTCCGGGCAATGGGAATTGTTTTGTGGTTATAGTTTCAGTTCTGCAAGATGAAAAAGTTCTAGAGATCTATTGTGCAACAATGTGAATACACCTTAATACTACCAAACTGTATACTTAAAAATGGTTAAGATGAGGGGCACCTGGGTGACTCAGGTCATGATCTCAGGGTCCTGAGATGGAGCCCCACGTCTGGATCCCTGCTCAGCCAGATAGCTTACTTCTTCTCCCTTTCCCTCCCCTCACTCCCCCACAACCTTCCCCCACTCCTGTTCTCTCTCTGTTGAATAAAATCTTTATTTAAAAAATGGTTAAGGTGGTAAATTTAATATTGTTTACCATAACGAAAAAAAAGTAGTTGTTTAAAAATACTTAGGAAACTAGTTCTATTTTGTTAACCTACATGTCTGTCTTTATGCCATTGCCATCCTATTTTGATTACTAAAGAGCTCAGAAATAAACCTTGACATATATGGTTAAATGATTTTTGCCAAGGGTGTCAAGACCATTCAATATGGAATGGACAGTCTTTTCTACTAACAGTTGGGAAAACTGGATATCCACATTCAGAAGACTGAAGCTGGGCTCTACCTGTATGCCATATACAAAAATTAAATCAAAATGGATCAAAGACCTAAATATATGACCTAAAATTATAAACACTCTTAAAAGAAAACATAAGAAAATAGCGTTAGGCCACAGAATCTGATAATGAGGAACGCCTGGGTGGCTCAGCGGTTGAGCGTCTGCCTTTGGCTCAGGGCGTGATCCTGCAGTCCTGGGATCAAGTTCCACATTGGGCTTCCTGCATGGAGCCTGCTTCTCCCTCTGCCTGTGTCTCTGCCTCTTTCTCTGTGTCTCTCATGAATAAATAAATAAAATCTTGAAAATAATAATAATCTGACAATGATTTATTAGATAGGACACCAAAAGCACAGACAACAAAAGTAAAAACAAATAATAAAGTGGACTGTATCAAAAATTTAAATTTCTGCACATCAAAAGATACTATCAATAAAGTAAAAAGGTAACCAAGGCACAGAATGAAAGAATATATTTGTCAATTATCTAATAAAGAATTAATATCCAGATACATAGAGAATTCCTAAAACTAATTTAAAAAAACAATCTAACTAAAAAATTGGCAAAGAACTTGAAAAGACATTTTTCCAAAGAGGATATACAAATGGCCAGCAGGCACTTATTTTAAAAAGCTCAACAACACTAATTAATAGGGAAATGCAAATCAAAACCTTGAGATACGATCTCACACCAAGTAGGATAGCTATTACCAAAAAAAAAAAAAAAAAACCACAAAAACCATCCCAGGGGCGCCCAAGTGGCTACGGCAGTTAAGCAGCTCACTCTTGATTTTTGATTCAGGTCAAGATCTCAGGTTCACAGCATCAGGCTCCACACTCAGGATGGAATCTATTTCTCTCCTTCTCCCTCTGCCTCTTCCTCTCCCCATTGTGCTCTCTCTAAAAAAAATAAATCCTAAACAAAAACACAAAAACCAGAAAATAACAAGTGCTGGTGAGGATTTAGAGACCCTAGGACCCTTGTGTACTGCTAATGGGAATATAAAATGGTACAGCAACTGTGGAAAACAGGATGGTGGTTTCTCAAAAAATTAAAACTAAATTGCCATATGATCTAGCAATTCTACTTCTGGGCATACACCTAAAAGAACTGCAAGCAGGGTCTGAAAGAGATATTTGCATTCCCATGTTCATTATTATTAGTAGTATTCACAATAGCTAAAAGGTGGAAATAACCCAAGTATCCATCAAGAAATGAATAATAAGCAAGATGTGTAATATACATACAATGGAATATTATTCAACCTTAAAAAGAAAAGAAATTCTGAAATATGCCAAAATATGGATGAACCTAGAGAACATTATGCCAAGCGAAATAGAAGACAGTAACATATAACAAATACTGTATGATTCTGGTCATATGAGATAGAGTAGTCAAATCCATATAAGCAGAGACCAGAACGGTAGTTGTTAGCAGCTAGGGACAGGATGGAGTGGGGACTTATTGTTTAATGGGTATAAGGTTTCAGTTTTACAAGATAAAAAGAATTATAGGGATAGTTGAAGGTGTTGGTTGTATAACATCATGAAATATTTAATACCACCAAACTGTACATTTAAAGATGGTTAAAGATGGTGAATTTTGTAATGTGCATTTTACCACAATAAAAAAAAATGAAAAAAGAATTAAAACTAAAACTAAAACAAATCATTAGGTAAAAGTGTCTTTCCAAAGTGATTCTACCAAGTAAGTCAAACTTCGTTTGTGTTAAAATTCATAGAGCTGAAATGCCTTCAAAGGCATTTAATGCAGTATCCATCATTCACTGATAAGGAAAACTGAGGATGACAGATATTATGTGACTTACAGAAAATTTCACTACCTCAGGAATTCACTGACAAATCTAAGACTAGCTCTGAACCATTTACACTCCACTTCTACACTCTATCAAGTACATATGCTTAAAATTTTATGTGTATGTATGTTTCTACTTACGTCACATCTCTGTGTCTCCATAATTTATGATATGTAAAGATTGTTTAAAAAAAAAAAAAACTAGTGGTGATTTCTATTTGTTACCCCATAAGAAGAGTTCAGTTAACAAAGGAAAATGTATATAAAACCTAAAATGAGGACGCCTGGGTGGCTCATGGGACGCCTGGGTGGCTCAGTGGTTGAGCACCTGTCTTTGGCCCAAGGCATGATCCTGGAGTCCTGGAATCAAGTCCCACATCGGGCTCCCTGCATGGAGCCCGCTTCTCCCTCTGCCTGTGTCTCTACCTCTCTCTCTGTGTGTGTCTCTCATGAATAAATAAAATCTTTAAAAAAATAAAGCTGATTATTAAAAGAAAGAAAGAAAGAAACTAAAATGTCATCAACCATATAATCCAACACTTTTCTTCCTGGTTTTGTAAAACTTTTTTCCTTCAATAGATAAAGTGCCTTTGCTGTTGCAATCTGGTCTGCATTCCCACCCACTGTTCCTATGCTACAAAACCTGTTTGTAGGGATCCCTGGGTGGCGCAGCGGTTTGGCGCCTACCTTTGGCCCAGGGCACGATCCTGGAGACCCGGGATCAAATCCCACGTCGGGCTCCCGGTGCATGGAGCCTGCTTCTCCCTCTGCCTATGTCTCTGCCTCTCTCTCTCTCTCTCTCTGTGTGTGTGTGTGTGTGACTATCATAAATAAATAAAAATTTAAAAAAAAACCTGTTTGTATACTACAATATTCAAAATCTGTAACATTCACTTTACCCAAATATAGGTCCCCAAATGTTAAACACTGCCATCTTTTCAGATCTAAGCAGTACAACTCAAGGACTTTGAAGCTTAATCAAACTTACTTTCAATATTAAATACTAGGGTCAAGTTTGCCTCCAGCAACTAACACTGAGGAGAAAATACCTCAGGGAGAGAACTATGTTATAAAATAAAGATTTTAAGACCTAAAGGAATGGGACTTGTTTATAAGAAATACTCTGCTCTCTCAATATACCATCAAATATGTACTATGTTTCTTAAAGATATTTCTTATATCATAAAAATGAGATTTGATTTTTTCCTTATTTACCCTGAATATCTTATCTGTTCTTACAGACCTCTACTTAAGTCTCTATATTATATATAGACAGTCCAATTCCAAAGCAGGCTCTCTTCTTCACACCTTACAGAGCAGGGGTTCTTTTAGATGAAAAAAATGAGTAATGACATGCACACCAAGAGAAAGAGATAAAGTCACATGTCCTGAAAAGCAATGTTTAAGGAACATACGTGATCATGATTCATTTATACAGTTTTATCATTAAAGAATTAAGAGTTTACATTAATTTAAGCTTAAAAATCAAGAGTTGTATTTTGCATTTTACCTGGATATTGCTGCTTTTTCCATTATTTCCTGCTGAATGAGTCCAGATGGCTCAATGACATCCAATATAATTATACTCCACAACTTGTCTGATTTTGGCCTTTGCAACACAGCAGATTCATCTTCCACATGTCTCAACCAAAATTCAAGTGTTTCTTTAGGAAAGTGATTGGCTTCAGATATGAGGTCCAGAGTGATACGATGCTGGTCTTTCTCCACAGAACTATAAGGTTTAACCTGCCCAAGTGTGCCAGCAATTATGGGCAGAATAGAGAAGCCTTCAGACACATCTAACACATAGAAAGGTTCAGGGCTGTTCTCTTCAGAAACATTCTCTCTACTTCCACAGCTCAACTCATTATTCTGACAGTGAGTATCCATGGCCTGACACAGTTTCTCTGGTGCCAATGAAGACAACACTTTTCTCATTGCCATTTTAAAGCCTTCATGATAGAGGTTGTTATTAAGCAAAGCAATTTCTGTGGATTCCAATATACATGTCTGCTCCACAGCATCTGGTTTACTGGTCTGAAGGTTAGCCAGGGCACTACAGAGTTCAGCCTCACTTCCTAAAGAGAGCAAGTCTTTATCCTTGGTAAAATTTTTTCCAGCATCAACTTCACACTCTGAACCAAAAACACTGATATTTTGGATTCTTAAGTAACAATCTTGACAAGACACTTCCATCATCACATGGTCCCCAGGTTTTATCCAGTAGTCTCCATAAAACAGTAAGAAAGAAAAACATTGTAATTGATGAATGTGTCTGAGGGTCATACAAACACCTTGACCATTTTGAAATCATTACAGAAAAGATTACACCTATTAATAGAATGAAGTAAATTAATTTATTCATTTCCATAAAAAACTGGGAAAGATTCAATTAACTCATGGCATAATAGAGTGACTGAAGAGCTCCATTACTGGACCCCAACTGTTCATATTATAGTGCTTCTAGTGTACTCACTAGGTATCAACCTCACTTAGGGAGTGAGGGAAGGGCTACAGGGGACTTTCAATCTTCTTCAGTAATGAAGCCAACAATAACAAAGATAAATGAAAGTTAGGAATCAATACCAAACTTCACCTTAACTTAAAGAGACATTTTTTTTCTCTAAGAGAAATTTCCACAAGAATAAGGCAGCATTCAATAGAATTTTACCAGTAATATTTCTAACTAAGTATTTAGACACTCTTGCATGTTTAGGAATTTGACAATGTAAGGAAAGATTAAGTCCTACAATAAAGATTATATCATGCTCTTATCTATGAGCTTTCAAACTCCGTAAAACTTTAAAATGTAAATGTATAATTACAATTCCTTATTAGTTTTAGAAGCAGTTAAAAATACAGATTATTCTTGTGTTTACATATTTAAAATGTCCTTTCTCTAAGAAGGATTTAAAAAAAAACCCCATCTAACTATAAGAAAGTTAGAATAAACAAACAAAATAACACATGAAAAGATATTCAACATCACTAATCATCAGGGAAAAGCAAATCAAACCACAGTGAGATATAATCACACATCTGTCAAAATGGCTAAAATCAAAAACACAAGAAACAACAAGTGTTGGCCACAATGTGGACAAAAACGAACCCCTGTGCACTATTGGTAGTAGTACTGTGGAAAATAGTATGGAGATCTTCAATAAATTAAAAAGAGAACTACCACATGATCCAGTAATTCCACGATTGGGTATTTACCCAAAGAATATGAAAACACGAATTCAAAGGAATACATGTACCCCTATGCTTATAGCGACATTATTTACAATAGGCAAGGTAAAGAAGCAGCCCAAATGTCCATCGATAGATGAATGAATAAAGATGTAGTACAGAAGGGAGGGATGAGTTAAACAGGTGATGGGGATTGAAGAGTACACTTGTGATAAACAACAGGTGATGTACAGAAGTGCTGAATCACTATACTGTACACCTGAAACTAATATTATACTACATGTTAACTAACTAGAACTTAAATAAAAAAATTAAAGGGACGCCTGGGTGGTTCAGGCAGTTAAGTATCTGCCTTTGGCTCCCTTTGACCATGATCCCAGGGTCCTGGGATGAAGCCTCATGTCAGGCTCCCGGCTCAGTGGGAAGCCTGCTTCTCCCTCTCCCTCTGCCCCTTCCTCTGCTTGTGTTCATGCTCTCTCAAATAAATATATAAAATCTTTTAAAAAGTCTCTTTAAAGATGTGGCATATAGATACAACAATAAAATACTACTTAATCATAAAAAAGAATGAAATCTTGGCAAGTACAACAGTATGGATGGATCTAGAGAGAGTACAATGCTAAGTGAAATAAGTCAGAGACTGACAAATAGCATATGATTTCATTCATATTTGGAATTTACAAACAAAATGAACAAAAAAAAGAGACTTAACTACAGACAACTGGTGGTTACTAGAGGAGAAGGGAGTAGACAGATGGGTAAAATAGGAGAAGGGGATTAAGAGTATATTTATGATGAGCATTGAGTAATATAGAGAATTACTACAAGGATTATCTGAAACACTGTTACCTATACTGTAATTAAAATATTAAAAATAAAATAAATAAACTCAAATAAAAATGCCACTTACTGAGTGCAAGTAGCTAGGATAGGCATTTTACATCCATTATCTCTTAAAATCCCTACAATCCTGCAAGGTAGGCAGCATCATCCCATTTTTGTACATCACATAATAAAAGCTCTGAGACATAACCAGCAAGGCCAGCCAGGGAGTAAGTAGCAGTGCCAAGACCTGAACCAAAATCTACCTGACTGACTCTAAAAACATCACACTAGCCACAACACTACACTCATTCCATGACTTAATGACCTTGCCAAATTAGATCCTTGTCTAGGAAACTACACAGAGATAGAAAACTTAAGTCCCTGTTTAAAAAAGGTAGAATTTTTCTGTGTAATACAACTTATGTGAACTACACTGAAACCCATCAAATTGCTGGTAAAAAAAAAAAAATTCTATATAAAAAAATCTTTAATATAGAACTTACTAGGGAAGTCCATGAATTTATAAGCCCTCTAAAACTGCAAACTTTTGTTTTATGTGTGTGTGTGCATTTCTATGACCTAGGGCTCTACAGATACCATCAGATTCTGTAAGAACTCTTGCACTAGTGCTTTTCCACTATGTTCTATAAAAAAAAAAATGGACTAGCATTTCTCTTATTACTGATAATTAATCAGAGCTGAAAAAATTATATTTTTCAAATGTATTTATTTTAAAGAAAGAAAGAGAGCAAGCAAGCACAAACAGGGGAAGAGAAAGAGAATCCCAAGCAGACTCCTCAATGAGTACAGAGCCCAACTCAGGGCTCAATCTCATGACCTCAAGACCATGACCCAAGCAGAAATTAAGAGTAGGACACTCAACCAACTAAGCCACCCAGGCAACCCAATGATAGGTATTTTTGAGTGGATGTAGCAATTATGTTTTACTTTCTTAACTACATATATTAATTATTTAAGACTACTTTTTTTTCTAAAGATTTTATTTATTTACTCATGAGAGACAGAGAGAGAGGCAGAAACACAGGCAGAGGGAGAAGCAAGGTCTTTACAGGGAGCCCCATGTGGGACTCGACCCTAGGACCCCGGAATCACGACCTGAGCCAAAGGCAGACGCTCAACCACTGAGCCACCCAGGCGCCCCTTAAAACGACTTTTTAAACAACAAAGTTCTGAAAAACTTAACCAATTTTCCTTGACTAGAAACTTCATATTCAAAGTAAATTTTTTACACTAATTCAAATGCTTAAAGAACTAAAGCAACAAGAATAAAAAAACAAATAACAAAAATTAGACAAGATATACCTGCAAGGTCATGTACCGGGTAGATGGCCTGTTCCCAGCATGTTTCCTCACTAGGACTTGTGGATAAACTGTGTTCATCATCAAGCTGGAGTACAAACCAAACCACAACAGCATCTAGTATGCCTTCTTTAACAACAGGAATACCAATTTTATCAGGTTTTTTCGTTGCAAGACTTTTTAATTCCTGACAAAATGTAAAAGAAAGCATATTATGTATTTAATATATACACGCCCTAATATCACATCACTTTGATTTTTTCCATTTCTGTAAGTTCTCAGATCTGCCCAGCATCCTTGGGAAAATCAGTATTTTTTTTTTTTTTATTTATGATAGTCACAGAGAGAGAGAGAGAGAGAGAGAGGCACAGAGACACAGAGGGAGAAGCAGGCTCCACGCACCGGGAGCCCGACGTGGGACTCGATCCCGGGTCTCCAGGATCGCGCCCTGGGCCAAAGGCAGGCGCCAAACCGCTGCGCCACCCAGGGATCCCGGAAAATCAGTATCTTGACACACCTTTAGTCATTTAAGGCATACTGGATGAGAAGCTTCCGTTTATCTTAGTGAAATACTGTGTATTAAAAACTATTAACATAAAAACAAACAAAAACACATAAAACTATTAAAAACATTAAAAAAAAAAACAACGAGACAGATACATAATAGTGATGTAGAAAGAAGTCCATGATATATTGTTGGATGAAGGCTGCGAGTGGCTAACAAATAGGGATTTTATTTTTTAAAAAATGTGTGTGTGTGTGTATGTGTGTGTGTGTACAGAACAGAAATGCAAGTCTGAAAAGATATACTTCAAACTGATGATCTGGGGAAAGTAGGACCTAGGTTTTAAAAAGGAAGATATAGGGCAGCCCAGGTGGCTCAGCAGTTTAGTGCTGCCTTCGGCCGTGATCCTGGAGATCCAGGATTAAGTCCCACTTTGGGCTCCCTGCATGAAGCCTGCTTCTCCCTCTGACTGTGCCCCCCCCCCGGTCTCTCTCATGAATAAAATCTTCAAAAAAATAATTAATAAATAAATAAATAAATATGATTTTTCTTTTCCATTCTTATTACTTGAAAGTGTTAAGCAAGCAGATACTACTTCCAAATTAAAGCCTTATGATGGTGGGTTTTATTTTTAACTGTGGCAAAGATAAATTTACATAAGAAAAGCTCAAAATAAGAAAAGGACAGCTTTGGGGTTTTTAGCAACTATAACTGTGTTGTTCCTATGGCACTGTTATATCAGAAATGAATGTTCTTAAAACTCAGCCCTGGCAAGTAATGTCAAATGTAGCTCTAAACCACCTCAAAAAAACCCTAGTAACAATTAATAGGGGATTAAATTTATTAAACTATAAAGAACTTAGGCTAAAATAACTCTCACAAAGTCTTCTGTCTGCAGGCACATTTCATCTAACCTTAAAGATCTTCAGAGCAGGACTCTATATAATAACCTTTCTCAATTCCCTTGGGCACTTTCTTTGTGCAGTACATTCCCCCACCACCTACCAATACACATAGAGTTAGATACATAGGGCCATCAACTTGTCCTGGTTTGCTCAATCAAGACTGTCCTAATTTAATATGAAATTCCCATGTCTTGGGAACCTCTCATTTCTGGGCAGACTCTAATACAGATACAATCTAGAGATCTGGATTACTGTTCATTTCAAAGAATACCGTTAACTTGAAATGGCAGCATGACATTGAGAAAGTCAGAAAGCTCTAGGTTATAACTCTCGCATTCATATCTGCATAATTTGGGAAAAATTAAAGCAACAGTTCCCTCATCTGTATAGCACAAAGATAATTATAATTGCAACACTGTTGTAAATGCAATCTAAGAATACATGTGAGAGTACCTGGCACATTATACATTCCCAAAAAAACTGAGGGTTTTTTTTTTCCTATGTATTTAAAGTAAGTATATAATTTAAGAAAATACTGGTTACTATTTTTTTTTTTACCATCTGGTTACTATTTAATCATTTTCCTTACATATAATGAGTACTGTCCTATGCAAATCCATAAGATAAGACTACGTATTACTTTAAACAATGCTTGAAATTTAATGCTCAAAAATTGTAATTGAACTTTTTTTTTTCTTTTTTACCTGAAGATTGTTGAAATCCACTGTCATAATTTCAAAGCACTCTGTCAAAGCCAAATATCCCCCAGGAACTCGACTCATCTTTTCAGTTGTATATGGTTCAACTGTCTCTTCAGTATCTACAGAAGAACAAGCTGGACTCTGAAATTTCACATTTGCTGGTAAACAGATGCCAGCAACATCCTTAGTACCCACCCTGGTAGAAGGGAAAATGAGAAGGGAGAAAGATGCAGTTATTTTTTTTTATCTTTATTGTTTTAAAGAATCAAGTAACACCATCTAATATTGAGTCCAGAAAAAATAAACATAAAAATGAAATAAAACTTCACTGACAAAGGTTTAAACACAATTACATACACAATCACTAACTATAAAGGAGAACAAATGACAAATAGGTCTACATTAAAATTAAAAACTCTTGGGGTGTCTGGGTAGCTCAGTCAGTTAAGCATCTGCCTTCCACTCAGGTCATGATCTTGGGGTCCTGGGATCAAGCCCGGCATCCGGCTCCCTGCTCAGCAGGAATCTGCTTCTTCCTCTGCCTCTCTCCCCAGGTTATGCTCTCTCTCAAATAAATAAAATCTTAAAAAAAAATTTAAAACTCTCTTCATCAAAAGATACTCAGGTTTAAGAAAGTAAAAAAGCACAATGAGAATTTATAATACAACTATTCAAAAAAGGGCTCATATCCAATATGTATTTTTAAATTTCTATGAAGAAAAAAATGGGCAAAAGACATAAACAGATATTTCACAAAAGAGCATATCGAGATAGTCAATAAGCATACAAAAAGTTGCTCAGCTTCATTAGCCACCAGAGAAATGAAGTTAACATCTACACAACCACCAGAACTGGGAAAATGAAACAGTCAATAGAAGTGTTAGTGAAGACACAGTCTCATACACCATTAGCAGGAATATAAAATAAGACTACTTTAGAAGACTTTTCGTAGTACCTACTCAAAAGTTGAACATACCCATTCTAGATTCACTCTTAATATGGGAACCTCAAAGTATTTGGCTTTTCTACTTCTGGGAATATATATACCCAACAGAAATTCATATACACAATCACCAAAAGAATGCTCAAGAATCTTTATAGTTGTACTATTTCCAATAAACAAAGAGCTGGATATAACATAAATATCCATCATCAGTAACATGGGTGAATGTATTGGAATATCTGTACACTGGCATACTATACATCAATCAGAATGAATAAACTACACACCAGTGAACGTGGATGTTGAAAAAAAGAAGCCAGGCACAAAAAAACTTTCAGTAATACCATTTTATGAAAAAGAAATACTACAATCTTAATCATCTCAGAGGTATTCACTTATTAGTCTATCTGTCCTTATAGTGTTTTAGAAGTTGGAAGGGTCTACTTCTAGAAATTATTTTATTATACTCTCAAAAAATGAACCAACAAATGATCTTCATAACTGAAAAGTGGCAAGTTACAGAAACAAAGAGGATATGACAAGTTCCTTTTAATTTCTTATAAAATATACAAATATAAACTTATCAAAACTCCAAACTAGTAAAAAGTAAAAGTCCACTTTCACAGTGTACCTTATCTCCATTTCTCCACTGTTAAGTCTGATCCTTTCATATCTTTTTCTTTATGTAATAATATGTATGAACACTGTTCGGATATATTATACATATTTTCCTCTGCTCTTTTTACTTTGAAAATGATTACAAATTTATAGAAAAATTTCTAGACAGTCTCAAGAACTCCACACATCCTTTATCCAGATTCATCAAACTTTTAAATACTATGCCACATTTGCTTTATCTTATTCTACCTCTCTCCACATCTATTCTTTCTTTGGAATCATTTAAGAGTAGGTTGCATTTATCATGCCTATTTAACCCTTAATAGATACTTTAGTGCATATTACAAATGAGGATAATTTCTTAACCACAATACAGTGACCAATTTCACTATTATCTAATTTTCAGTTCATATTCTGTATTTGTCAACTGAATCAATAAATCAAAGATGTCCTGTAGTCTTTCTCCCTGATATACCATCATGATTCAATTGACCTTTTTTTAATCTCCTTTAATCTACAACAGTTGCTCACCCTTTTTGCTTTGTCTCTCATGACACTGACACTTTTGAAGAAGGCAGGCTAGTTATTTTATAGAGTGGCTCCCAATGCATTTGTCTGAGGCTTTTTCATAATAACATATACATTGTATACATTTTGGGTGTAATTTATGTAAGTGAGAGATTCCCCAGAGTACCATATTTGGAGGGATCTTACAATGCCATGTGGTTTCTTCCCTATACAATTAACATTTTTCCTTTTGTAATAAGTAATTTGTGAGAAGATACTTTTAAACTTACAAATACCTTGACCTTCATTAAATTTTTATTTAATCTATTCATTTGATTTGATCTATTCATAATTTTTGCTTCCATCTTTATGTGGGGATTGCAAACAATAATTCTGCAACATTTGTTTTATGTTATTAGCATTCTAGTGCTGGAAAGAACTGTCTTTTTATCCCCATTTATGAACTTATTTATTTATTATAAGTAGGAACTCATGGATTCTTATTTTATTTAATGGATTTTAATCTAGAACTCCCTTTAGTTATGTATTTGGTGCTTAAATGATCTCAAATTTGGCCAGTGGGAGACCCTTCCATGCATGCTTCTATGTTCTTTTAACAGTCTGTATTTTTTGAGCACTTCCTTAATTTCTGATGCAAAACGTTTCAGAGACGGGGGTTGGGGGTGATTGGGTGACAGGCACTGAGGGGGGCACTTGATGGGATGAACACTGGGTGTTATTCTATATGTTGGCAAATTGAACACTAATAAAAAATAAATTTATATTAAAAAAATGTTTTATGTACTTTAAAAAAAAAAAGTTTCAGAATTATCTTGAATCTGTCTATCCCAGTCCTGTTCTCCAAGGAGCTATAGTTCCTTTTGTTGAGGAATGGAATTTAGAAACCCAGACCTGAGTGCTAGATATGCTCATTCCTACTAAGATTATACCTTGTCTCTTTCACTTAATAGCGTATCATGAAATTCTTTCCATGTCAGGACACTTGCACATTACTGCACAGAGACAACGTTCTATCAAAAATTATTTTCTTATTAATAAACCTTCAGGCAGTTTGTTTTTCCAATTATAGTATTACAGCAAACACCCCTGTACATAGATCACTGCACACGTTTGTGTACATTTATCAGAAAAGATTACGAAAAGTGGAAATACCAGGTCAAGAACTATATACATCTTTAGTTTTATTAGATAATGCCAAATTGAGCTATAAAATGTTGTACCAATGTAAGAGTGTATAAATTTCCCCTACACCTATGAGAAGACAGAATATTATCAGTCATTTTTAATGCTTGTTAATATAAATATTCAAAAAAATGTTATCCCATAGATTTAACTTCTATTTCTCTGATTAATAGACAATTGCAAGTATGTTAATGCTTTGCTGTAAAAGTTGCTAATTTTTATCTCACTCTGTCAACTGTCCTTTAACTTTTTTATACCATCTCTCATGAGATATATTAAAATTTTTTCAATGTGGTCAAATTTGTCAATTTTTTTAAAGATTTTATTTAAATAAATAATAAATAATTCATAAGAGACACAGAGAGAGAGAGAGAGAGAGAGGCAGAGACACAGGCAAAGGGAGAAGCAGGCTCCACGCAAGGAGCCCAACGTGGGACTCAATCCCAGGTCTCCAGGATCACGCCCTGGGCTCAAGGTGGCGCTAAACTACTGAGCCACCGGGGCTGCCCAAATTTGTCTTTTTATAGCTACACTCTACCCTGTGTTTTCCTTTGGCAAAATGGATCTTCTACACTTAGATATTTAATTCATTTTGAATTAAAATTAAAGTAATAATCTAATGTTTTTCCCCAAATGAAAAATATCATCTCCATCACCATTCATCCTTTCTCTGATATGAAATACCATACTTGTATCATATGTTAAATCCAAAGTCTGTATCTAGATTCTTTTTTTTTTTTTTAATTTTTATTTATTTACGAGAGTCACACACACACAGAGAGAGAGAGGCAGAGACATAGGCAGAGGGAGAAGCAGGCTCCATGCACCGGGAGCCCGACGTGGGATTTGATCCCGGGTCTCCAGGATCACGCCCTGGGCCAAAGGCAGGCGCCAAACTGCTGCGCCACCCAGGGATCCCTGTATCTAGATTCTTTATTGTGTTCCACTGATCTACTTTCCTATTTCTGCATCAATGTTTATTTCTAGAGTTTTATATCTATTATTAGATAGAATATTAATTAATAGAATATACCTATTATTAGAAAAGTTTCTCACTTTTTTTTAGCTCTTCTTAAAACATTTGCTTGGTCATATAAACATAAGATTCAACTAATTAGGCTCCAAACAGTAATTTTTATAATAATAGTTAAAATTGTTTCTACCAGGGTGCCTAGGCAGCTTAATCAATTGAACATCTAACTCTTGGTTTCAGCTCAGGTCATGGTCTCAGGATTGTGGGATCGAGCCCCCACTCTGGGCTCCATACTCAGAGTGAAGTCAGCTTGAGATTCTTTCTCCCTCTTCTTCTATCCCTACCACCAGGCTCACGATTGTCTAGTTCTCTCTCTCAAATGAATAAATAAAATCTTTTTAAAAAATTGTTTGTCCCAGATAAAACAGTAGCACTCATCTCTATATTTTTCAGCACCTTTCTTCATGGTTCTCAACCCACAACTGCAGCTTCATAAAAAATAAATACCAGGCCTCACTCATTCAGATCTACTCAAACAAAACATGTCATGTTTAATTTTACAAAAGCTGCCCCGATGTTTCTATTGTATAGTTAGACCTTGACTTGCTATATAAATCAATGATGAAGGAATCCTTTCGATATGGTAGATACTGGGCCACCTGGATGGTTCAGTCAATTAAGTGTCCATCTTCAGCTCATGACATGATCCCAGGGTCCTGGGATTGAGTCTCCCTCAAGTCAGGCTCCCTGTTCAGCGGGGAGCCTCCTTCTCCCTCTTCCCCTACCCTCTGCTCATGATCTCTCTCTCTCATTTTCTCTCTCTCAAATAAATAGAAGCTTTAAAAAAAAAAAAAAAAGAAAATCAATGTTCTAGTCTGACTAGTGATTGATGACACAGAAGTTTGAAAAAAACAAGAAGAAAAACAAAAATGGTTAAGATACCAATTTCTGTTTTGTTTAGGCAAACAATTTAGTGATTTTCCTATAAAATATAAGAGAAACTACTAATGGCAAAGAATCTAGAATCGTGTTAGAGCAAGAAATCTCAGCAAGACACAACCCAGCTTTTCTGGTTGGCAATTCAGCAATATGTCTCCATAAACTGAAAAAGGTACATACCTTTTAACTCAATTCTTTTTTAAAAGAATTCTATTTAACGCAATTCTTTATTAAGAAATTTATCCCAAGAAAATAATAAAGACAAGTCCACACAGACCTAAGTACAAAGATATTTATCCTTGTTCCTAAAAGCAAAACAGTAGAAGCAAACTAAAAATTTTAAACACTGAGAACTATAAGAAATTGGTTTTAAAAAATCATGAAGCATATCTATTAACATGAAAAAGCTCACAAAGAAAAAGCAAATATATTTACCAATACTTTTGAAATAAAATTCAATTTATACACACATTTACTTATATAGAGCTGACACTCAACCAGCATACTAATTCAGCCAATCTATTAATTAAGGCCACTGTTTGGTTGGTGTCCTATGCCCTACCAATTACTAAATATTTTACTTATCACCCTGTAACATGCATAGAATGCATGATCAACAGTAGCTACCTAATGGTGAGGAGTTTAGGATAATTTTTATATTCTTCTTTTACTCTTCACTACTTCTTAAAATATTTATATGTTACATTTACTATTAAGTTATTGAAGGGGGTCTCTTTATCACATACCAAAAAAATACTAGGCTGTATCAAAATTAATTTTCCACTAAAAAACTGGAAGCTGGTTTTAATTCTAGAGTCCCACTTTATTAATTTTTTTAAATTTATTTATTTATTTATTTATTTATTTATTTATTTATTTATTTATTTATTTATTTGAGAGAGAGAGAGAGAGTACAAGCAGGGGAGGGGCAGAGAGAGAGAGAGAGAAGCAGGCTCCTGGCTGAGTAGGGAGCTGGGCACAGGGCTTGATCCCAGGACCCTGGGATCATGACCTGAGCTGAAGACATACACCTAACCACCTGAGCCACCCAGGTGCCCCTAGAGTTTCACTTTAAAAGAAAGTAAGAAAAAGGTGAAAAGGGAATTAAGACTGAAATAAGCATCACAAACTTAAAAAGTCACAAAAACTACAAATTCTCATCCAAATAAATATTCATTAAATAACCTTTCAAGAACAGTCTAATCTTTAAAATTATTATTTTCTAATATTTACTATTTAAAAAATCACTTACCTATGATGTCTTCTTATCTCTGCACATTCTACTGCCATTCCAAATATAACAGCACTTGCTGGTATAACTTTCCCATACTTTTCACAATTACCATTTTCACCTCTGGTCTAAAATATAACAATAAAAATTATATTTAGTTTCATGTATGCAAAAATATGTGTGCATGATTACAAGAAAAAAAGTTTAATGGCAATAGGTAAGGACAAACAAATTAAGGTTTTTTTTTTTTTTAAGTTTTTTTTTTTTGGGGGGGGGCACCTGGGTGGTTCAGTGGGTTAACCATCTGACTCTTGGATCTCAGCTCAGGTCATGATCTCAGGGTCATTAGATCAAGCCCGGTATCTGGCTCCAAATGATTACCTCCTTCTCCTTTTGCCTCTCCCTCCTACACACACATGCTATCTCTCTGACTCTCAAATAAGTAAACAAAATCTTTAAAGAGTTTCTTTGGGGACACTTGGGTAGCTCAGTTAAGTGTCCGACTCCTGGTTTTGGTTTAGGTCATGATCTCAGGGTCAAGAGATGGAGCCCTCCATGAAGTCTGCTTAAAATTCTCTCTCCTCAAAAAAAAAAAAAAAAAAAACTCTCTCCTCCCTCTGCCACTCCCCCCACACTTACTTCCCCCCTCCTCTCTAAAATAAAATAAATAAGATCTTGTAAAAAAAAAAAAATTAAATAAAAAGTTTCTTTGTAGGGTGCCTGACTGGCTCAGTTTAGTAAAGCATTCAACTCTTGATCTCAGGGTTGCTAAGTTCAAGCCCCATATTGGATGTAGAGGTTGCTTAAAAATGAAATCTTTAAAAAAATGCAATTGAGAAGTTTCTTTTGTTAACTAGACTTATTGTGGTTATCATTTCACAATATATACAAATTTTGAATCATTACATGCTTTGCCTGAAACTAACATAATGTTATATGGCAATCATACCTCAATTAAAAAAACCTGAATATTACTCTGCCATAAAAGAGAATGAAATCTTGCCGTTAACAACACCATGGATGGATCTAGGGTATTGTGCTAAGTGAAATAAGTCTGAAAAGATAAATACCATATGATTTCACTCATATGTGGAATTTAAGAAACAAATGAACAACAATAAAAAAGATAAACAAAAGACACTCTTAAATACAGAGAACTGGTGATTGTGGGGGGATGGGTGTAACAGGTGATGAAGATTAAGAGTACACTTATCATGATGAACAGTGAGTAATGTATATTTATGTTATACACATGAAACTAATATACACTGTATGTTCATTATACTTGAATAAAAACAATAAAAAATGAAAAACAATGAATGTGATTCCATGTTAATACTAATTTTATTTTTTAAAAAGTTTATTTCATTTTCATTGCTCTATATGCATGCATGTATATACATATTTTTTTTTCAACAGTACAAGCAGGAAGAGGAGGGTAGCTATAAGTCTGTATGCAACAAAAAACTGTTGGGTAAGACTCAATTGAGAAGCCAAAATCACTATTACCTACTTGAAAAACAAACTGTTCTTCTTTTCAGCCTTTAATTATGTATTTTAAGTTCAAGTATTTTCTGTAAATAGTAAGTTCTTATGACATATTAAAAGACTTTCAAAAAAATAAAAAAATTTAAAAAAGACTTTCATTCACATCACATATTAAAAAAAACTAAACCCACAGTTCATGAGCCATATTAGAGGACTTCATTACAAAACACAATCTGGCAATTTTAAGAGTTAGTTCTGTCCAATCAATCAGTACCTTAAAACCATACCAAGCCAGTTATCACTACACTCCTTTTTTGATAGTTTACCAAAAATCCAGTAAGGGCTACTGAGGCTGAAAGTACTTCCCTTTCTCAACCCTACTCAAGAATTCCACAATATCCATCCCACAATGTAACCTCACTTACTATAAATTCCTTCCTGGAGTTATTTGGTCTCTATACCCCATAGATGAACACAAGTATACATATTACATGATTAAATGGTTTTTTGCATGTATTTCTTTCCAACTACACAGTATGTACCCTGACAGGAGGATGTATTTCATACTGCTTTGCAAATACACGAGGGGATGAATAAATACCTGCTGAAATAATGAATTCTTAATCAAATTTAAGTGTTTTCATGCTGCTTACCTTTGGCTGCAAAAGTAAATGCTCCCATGCATGAATTAAACTCTCCACAATTCCTTCTCCAAATAAACCTGCATCGACAGTTTCTGTTACAACTAGGGATACTCTATAGAATGATTTTTTAAAGATACATGTGAGTACGATATCATGCTATTTAATAAAGATGTTAAAGCTGAGAGAATAAAGGAAGAGTATATTATAGAAACATGTAAAATTTTCTAAAACATTTCATTTTTTAAATATCTACCCTCAAATCTTAAGGAATTTGACTCTACTGTTCCACAGGCTCCTCTATTCTCCACTGGCACCCTGTGGGGTAGGGAGACACAAAAACTTCACTTGACCCTGCTGCTTCTTCAGGCCATTCTTTCATTACCTAAATCCTTAAGAGTGCTTCATACCTTACCTTTACCAGTCCCTCCTTAATGCTGAGTAAATGAATTTCTGTCCCCAATGCTCTATAAAAATATTCTCTATCATAAATAACTCCCCTACTTATCAAGATCAATAATTGTTCTTAGTTCTCATTTTCTTTAACCTACAAATAACATATAATGGACCGGAGAAGGCCTCCCTCTCAAAATCCTTTCTTCTCCTTTCATTATCCAGGTTTACCTCTTACACATTCATCGTAGTTCTCTTGTTGCTCCTTGCTTTACCTACTACCTGTAAGTTTTCACAAAAGCTTGGTCCACAGAGCTGTGATCTGCTGACCATTCTTTCTAGAAAATTTCATTCAAAGACCTACCAAAACAATTTCTCCCTTCTCTGAACTTCTTCAGCACTTATTACCAGTATCATTAATTTATGCAGCTAGAAGATAAAGTTTCAAAAAAAAAAAAGAAGAAGATAAAGTTCAATGAATACTCCTTATCTTCCTCTCTAGATTGCAGGTGCCTTGAAGACAGAAACAACTTTTATATGCTCCACAAGCAACCCAATACTATATAAATACACAAAATTTTCAGTATTTATGATTGTATACATTTAGAACGTATCATCTAGTCCAACATCTTGTAGTCTCTAGATTTGCTTAAGGTCAAAATAAAAACAGTTAGTATGGAATCCTTATCTACTAATTCAAAACCCATAGGTCCTTCCTACAATACCATCTGTGAAAGAAATGAAGGTTAAATTGAGGTAACTGATTCATGCCATGGACTGAATTTTGTACCACCAAAATTCATAATTTGAAGCCCTAACTCCCAAAGTGACATTTGGAAGTAGGGTCTTTAGGAGGTAATTAAAGTTAAACGAGGTCACAAGGGAAAGGTAGGGCCATAATCTGACAGGGCTGGTATCCTTATAAAAGTGGAAGAGACACAGGTGATCTCTCTTTCTCTTCACATGCACAAAAGAAAGGGCAGGAATTCAGCTATCTGCAAGTTAGGAAAAGAGCTCTCACCAGAAACCAAATTGGCCAGCACCCTCAGATCATGCACTTACAGCCTCCAGAACTGTGAGAAAATAAATGTCTGTTTTTTAAGCCACCTAGTCTGTGCTATTTTGTCATGACAGCCTGAGCAGATTAAGATAATTCAGGACACTGTTTATTTCTATAAAATGTGTCTATCTGCCTCAACAATCTAATAAGACTTCTTTCACAAAAATCAATGTAGAGCCTACTGAAAAGCATAAGTATTATGTAAACATATATATCATTATACATATGGAAGAAAACTAAAAAATCACAGTCCAAATGACAAGAATATAAAAGTCCTCTTTCAATATAAACTGAATTTAAATAAGATGAGAAAAAAAAAAAAACAGCCAAGTAGTGAAACAAGTGTGCTACATAAAGAAAGCTGTCTATAAAATGATCGTGTTGGACCAGATGATTTGTAAACCCATTCTAGCTCTAAAATGCCATCACCTTTGTGATACAGATTAAAGCCAGATGATATACTGAAAAGCCAAGACTTATGAGATAATATTCAAAACATCTGAAGAACTCGGCCCAAAATACTTTGACAGCTGACGTTTCCAAAGCTTTCATGTTAGCCAAGGATAACACAAAATATGACAAGTCCATTAAGCCTAATCTACTAATGTATTATTTCTTACTACAATTTTTAAATAGTTAGTGACCACACAGGAGGTAGTATTTATTTTCAAGCCAGAATACTGAAAATAACAAAAGTAAAGTAACTTGCTAAAGGTCAAATTTATTTATTGAATCTCTTAGCACAAGTTTTTCTCAAGATCCTTAAATATTTATCAAGAATATGACCTTATTATGAAAATCCATCTTATGCTAAATGATCCTATATTCCTATCTTTACAATATAAGGGTTGTGGCATTTTTATTTGGGCTAGAAGCTCTAAACATGAGTATCTTAATTTTAAAAAACTAGTGGATTATTAAAAACTAAAATAATTTATATATACATGTATATATACATTATATAGTACCTTTCAGGAATGTGTTTTGGAATTTCTATGTCAAATGACTTCATGTGTAAGAGTTTGATTCCTGCTTCCATCTTGTTTGCTGCCACTACATCACAGGCAAGTTCATACATGGTCTTGGATAACTCACAAGCATATACTGAGTGTGCTCCAGCTTTTTTAGCAAACATGCTGCAAGGTGAAAAAGCGATCCATCAAGAAAAAATAATCCACTATAGTTATTCAAATTTTAGTGGAATTATGATGCTTAAACATGGGGTTTTTCCTTTTATTCTTTAACACAAACATTATTCATTCCACATAAAAAAAGTGAACCAATATTCTTATTAAGAAACAAATCATACAATAAATCATGACATTCATGTTTTTAAGAAGACACAACTGGAATGAAAAATGTTGATAAGCTTTCACTTGGACAACTAGATTCAACCAGAATGTTAATATAAAAAGTACTCTTAAAAGGCATTATTCAAAATTTCAAGAGTCACCAAAAAAAAAAATTTCAAGAGTAACCCCAAATTCTTAGTAATGTCCAGTTCTTGATAATGCTACAGTAAAAAATACAATAACAGTGGTTATATGAATAATCATAAGACTATGAGAAATAAACTTTATTTTTGAATTACACTTAAATTTTCTATATTTGGTAAAAGCTTTAATTTACATATATATATATATATATAATTAAAGCACAATTACAACAAACCTTAGTATTCCAGTTCCTGCTCCAATGTCCAAAACGCTCTTGGATCCCAAACAAACTGCATTTTGGATTGCTGCATTGTAAATTGTATTCCTTTTAGTATCATTAAGCATGATAAAGTGCCAGCGTTCCACCAACCAGTTTGCAACACGATAAAAATTCTCCTTTGCATCATTGAAATCAGGGTTTAGTTTCACTGCTTTATGAAAATATCCAGCTGCTTCATCTCTAAAGCCCATTCTATAGTAAAAAATGACAGACAAAATATTCAATTATTACGATATCAATTACTATGCCTTTGTTCATGCCACTCATCAGGCCTGAGAATCCCTCTCCAGCATCCAAATTCTCAACCCAAGAACCATCACCTTTGAAAAGCCTTTTGTGAGGATTACAATCTTTTATCATTTTTTCCCTTTCTGAACCCTTACTGTATTCATGCATTCTAGGAAACTGACTATAAATTACTATTGTACAAAAGTATAGGGATCCCTGGGTGGCGCAGCGGTTTGGCGCCCGCCTTTGGTCCAGGGCGCGATTCTGGAGACCCGGGATCGAATCCCACGTCGGGCTCCCGGTGCATGGAGCCTGCTTCTCCCTCTGCTTGTGTCTCTGCCTCTCTCTCTCTCTGTGTGACTGTCCTAAATAAATAAAATTTAAAAAAAAAAAAAAACTATAGTAGAAGCTCTCAGAGTCATCCTCCATTTAACCAACCCACTAGAACACCAGTGCTTTCTAAAAACCATTCCCTGTATTTAACATACTAATGTCTAAGGCTACTAGGCTTCTCTGTAGTATGCCTGTATACCTTTTCTCTCAGCAACTGAGTGAATTATCCAGAGTCAACTGTGTTTGCTGCCAGACCAGTTTATAAAAGTTATACCTGTCATTATAATTACATATTTTAATTAATATTATAGAAATTAAATAGGAGCACCTGGGTGGCTCACTCAGTTAAGTGTCTGCCTTTGGCTCAGGTCATGATCCACGATCCTGGGATCAAGTACCACATCAGGCTCCCTGCTCAGTGGGGAGCCTGCTTCTCCCTCTCCTTCTGTCCCTCCCCGCCCCCACCCCACTCATGCACATGTGCACGCGCTCTCTCTCACAAATAAATAAATATTTTTGAAAAGAAAAAAATAAATAAATATAACTGCAAAAAAAGAGTCATTATTTCTGAGGACACTAAGCTAAATGCTTTGGAAAAAATCAAAGGCAAGTCACCCAAAAAATTGCTACTGAATAAGATGTGAGCAAATCAACAATAAAAGGGGGAAACTATCAAACTATCTAGAACAGTGCTTCCTGAAATTTCTGTGATGAAGAACTCATCTCCCCTTGTTAAAATATTTGTAGACCAATACAATTGTCACTAACTGATAATATGTGGACTTGTACCAGGGTATGGTCCACAAATTAAAAAGAAGTAAGCTAGTAAAACCCTTTTACACTCCTACTTCTTCACAAGGACCTTTAAGCATTCTGTCAATTAAAAAAAAAAAAAAATCAGACTATTCATTCTAGGTATGGTTTAGTTAAAAAAAAAAAAAGACATTTTGGAATGCCAAACAAGGAACTACACTCTAACAAAAGGTGTTGGCCCTATCTCAAATGATAGGCACTCATGTTTAAGATTTGTATCCATTATTTTTAAATATCTTGAAGACAGGGTTATCTTTTCTTACTCTGCAACTGACGCTGCACACAATACAAAATACATTTTATGTAATCATTACTTGATGAAACAAACCTAGCAACAGCTATTTTAAAATTTTTAACTATCAACAATCTGCTGAATCAATACCAAGCCTGTCCCTAATAATTTCCTGGAGTTTGTGCTTCCCTTAAGTTTGAATCTTATTATTCAGTTTTCTTAAACCATAACTGAAAAATGTATGGTCCACTCAATTAAAGTACAACTCATATTGATATACTCAACATGTGTGTCAGTATCAACAAACTATAAAACCACCTTTTTTCTTTTAACTAGAAAAAAAAAATTACCTTCCCAATTAGTAACTTAAAAAATATGTTTTGTTTAAATCTGATACTATTGGACAAGATTGTGAAGTTAAGGCTTTCCAGACACAAATTATATTTCATAAATAAAAGGAAGGAAGAAGGGGATCCCTGTGTGGTGCAGCGGTTTAGCGCCTGCCTTTGGCCCAGGGCGCGATCCTGGAGACCCGGGATCGAGTCCCACGTCGGGCTCTAGGTACATGGAGCCTGCTTCTCCCTCTGCCTGTGTCTCTGCCTCTCTCTCTCTCTCACTGTGTGCCTATCATAAATAAATAAAAAATTTAAAAAAAAAAAAAGGAAGGAAGAAGGGGAAGCTATGGTTTACTCTGGAAACCTTTTTCTCCTGGAGCACTGATTCTTTTAGTGGGAACTGAGTGACCCACTGTCTTTGATAAGGAAAGTAGAGGACGATAACTAAGAAACACTGTTGTAGAGAACAAAGACAAACTGTATAGCCAAAGTTACATTCACCCTATCACAAGTTCTGAATTCTCTTTGTCTAAAATAGAAATTTTGCATAATTAGAGCAGCCTGGGTGGCCCAGCAGTTAAGCGCCGCCTTTAGCCCAGGGCACGATCCTAGGAACCCTGGATGGAGTCCCACATCGGGCTCCCTGCATGGAGCCTGCTTCTCCCTCTACCTGTGTTCTGCCTCTCTCTTCTATGTCTCTCATGAATAAATAAAATCTTAAAAAAGAAAATTTGCATAATTATATCTCCTTAAGCATTTTTTTGTCTCAATAAATGGTAACTGCTCAGACTAATATCCTACAATAGGTCACCAAGTTACAATCCATCAAAAGTATGTAGAGCTCCAATTTTCTGTTAAATTGAGTATATCCTTAAACATAAGTTTCAGAATGATATGATCGTTACATGCATATTATTTGGAAATATAATTGAATGCTATAGACTAATTCCCCTTATGTGGACTGAAGAACTAAAGAAAACTTTTAAATTTAAATGTAGATTTTTAAGTAATGTGACAAGTTATTTAAAAATCTTTTAAATCTAAATTTCCCTTTAAGGGAAAGTGGTTGCTAAATAGTAGGGATGGAATCTGTGTATCAGGATCAGGTTAGCTGCCAGGGTGAACAAGCAAGCCTTGGTTGACAATCTGCCTCATTTTCCTGTTTATTATCATGCTCTACAATTAGAAATTATCAAATATTTGTCTCAAAGGAGTACTCACTGCACTCCCCAGGCCATGCTGATTAAGACTATTAAACTATATAGTGGGATCCCCGGGTGGCTCAGCGGTTTAGCCCCTGCCTTTGGCCCAGGGCATGATCCTGGAGACCCGGGATCGAGTCCCACATCACGCTCCCTGCATGGAGCCTGCTTCTCCCTCTGCCTGTGTCTCTGCCTCTCTCCCTGTGTCTCTCATGAATAAATAAATAAAAATCTTTAAAAAAAAAAAAGACTATTAAACCGTATAGTAGCTCCATCACTGAAACTAATACATTTTGACAAAGGTATTTCTTATATAGAATTTTTCATTGAATAAAACTTAATATGACTGGATGAACAAAGCAATAATACTCAAGGGCAACTGCTGGAACAGGTAAAAGGATCTCACTATATAGAACAGGACATTATCACAGTGTTTCCTAAACAAGAAGGCTCCTTCTCCTTTGTACAAAGAAGTGAAACCAGATATAATAAAACAAGTTTAAAACAAAAATTTGGTGTTTTCATGTTTTCCTAATTATATAGTTTCTGTGGAGAATAGACAGAAATTAATTTCCAATGGCAGGTTTCCAGCCAGATCCAGAGAAGAGACTTACAAATCCCTGGCAAGGAACCACAGTGACTTACTTCACTGTCATCCTGCAATCCCACACCTATGTCCTCTCCAACAAGGTCTGGATCTTAGCCCAGTGAAGGGAACCCTTCCTTAGATGCTCTATCTCAGCTCTCGGGGCAGTGGCTATTACGTAGTATACAACATAATACTAAAATTGATCTGTTATTACATATTATATCTCCTATTTTTATATTCTTTGGGTTCTTTTTACTTCTTACTAGCCAATCCTTCACAGTTAATAATTCTTTATATTAAACTTGCCCTTTCAAATTACTGTGTGATTGATCCCTGATCAAGACTGATACAGAATTCTTAACAAGTAATACTGAAATCACTACAAACCTGAAGAGATGCTCCCCCATACTATTGCAAATTACTTCATCATCAGGAAACAGTTCCAAAGCTTGCTCATAACAGCCAAGTAAGTCTTGTGTTCGACTGAGAGCATCAAGCTCTTCAGCCCATCTGAACAGTGTATACTGAAAAGTTTCCTGTGTGGAAGAGAAAACAGCAATTTAGTCAATAACATAAATGAAGAACATACAACAATGGTCGATGATTCCACAAAGAACAGAAGCTAACTATTATTAACTGATCACCTTAGTAATTAGCGTGCAAAGAACTGGAGCTGAAACACAGCAATGAACAACACAAATCCTGTTCCTATCCTCACAGAAGACTTGCTGGGAGAAATTTAACATACAATTTTGAAAAATTTCAAAATGATCTAAAGTGAACCTATTACATTTCTCTCACACAGGATATAAGGTTAAGGTACCACTCAACCTCAAACCACTAAAGTCATTTTATTTTATTTTATTTATTTATTTATTCAAGATAGACACAGAGAGAAAGAGAGACAGGCAGAGGGAGAAGCAGGCTCCATGCCAGGAGCCCAACGCGGGACTTGATCCCAGGACTCCAGGATCATGCCCTGGGCCAAAGGCAGGCGCCAAACCGTTGAGCCACCCAGGGATCCCCACTAAGTCATTTTATAATGCTACCTTAAGTCCAATACAATTAGTTTATAACCCAGTCAATTCTGTCTCAGTATCTTTAAATCTGTCACTTCTTCATCCCCACTGTTACAACATAGTCTGGCCCTTGTAATACTTGCTGGACCATAGTAACAGCATTCCCACTGTCACCCTAGCTCCAATCTCACTTCCCTGTAGCCAATCTCCAAACCACAGCACCACAGGAAGAGGGAAGAAGGCTTTAGTCATTCCAGTTTCATCCTGAACACATTTTACATCATCTTCACAGATTTATACAGAGGAATTGATACTTGTAACTGAATCTTGATGGAGTTTACTACAGAGAAAAGAATACAGGGCAGCCCAGGGGGGCTCAGCGGTTTAGCACTGCCTTCAGCCCAGGGCCTGATCCTGGGGACCCGGGATCGAGTCCCACGTCGGGCTCCCTGCATGGAGCCTGCTTCTCCCTCTGCCTGTGTCTCTGCCTCGCTCTTTCTCTCTCTCTGTCTCTCATGAATAAATAAAATCTTAAAAAATAAAAAGAATACAGAAGAAGATTCTACAATACTGGGGGGTAGGGGGAGGAAACACAGATGATATGAAATAGGCCAGGAAATCTATAGGTAACCAGCTTGGTGTGGCTGAAGTGTGGGCATGGGGAACAGAGTAGCAGGGAAATAAGACTAAAGAGATCGTTTGCTAAGGTCCACACAAAGATATATGTATGGGCTTTGGTTCCGCAGGAACCCTATTGAACAAGAGGCATTCAAAGACAGGCTTTAGCTATAATTCTGATGCACACTAAATGTGTATAAAAAAGGTGCTCATTGTTTTTAAAAAGGAGAAACCTAAGGAACAAAGAATTAAAGAACCCATACTTGGGTTGAACCATTATTCTGCGGCTGACTCCCTTTAAGAGCTAACTGTATCTCAACATAGCACCATCTCTTCCTGGGGGCCAGGGCTCCCGAAATTTACACTGAATCTATATTAACTACAAACATCTATATGTCACACCTAGCAGGTAGAGATCGACAATGCCGCTAAACGTTCCACAATGCGAAGAATCATCCCATCCGAAAAGTCAACAAAATTAAGTGAAATCATTTTTTTTTAATTTAGATTCTAAAATAACTTGAAAAAATTCAGAGCACTTAAATAGAATAACCATCACAGTCCAGTAACTGAGGCTTAAAGAACGCATCATTAAATGATTACTTTAGGCTAAATCCAAACTTTATTCAAAGTTATTCCTTCTGCATATAAGCGGGACAAGTGCAAAGGTCCTGAGGCAGGGATATGCTAGAATTAGATACGGGAAGAGAGAGAGAATCACCTGTGGCCTCATTTGCAATACCGCCTTTATAGGAAGATGTAAGTTTTGGAGAAAGAGAAGTGACATCGTTTCACTTGTTGGGAAACGCTCACGCAGGCGGCGGCGAGACAGGCTACAGGAGAAAGCCTAGTTAGGAGCCCACAGGCACCTGAGGCTTTAACCAGGGTAGTAAAGGGCAAGGTGGCGAGAAGCGGTAAAATCGTGGATGTATTTCAAAGATGGAGCCGAAAGGATTTTCTGATGGGCTGACTGTGGGTGCGGACAAAAGCCAAGCCAAGCACGCGCGCTAAGTATCAAGAGCAACCACCAGCCCCTCCTCTTGACCCCCGTCGGCCCCATGGGCCCCATGTGTTCGTTTGACGCGAAGAACACAGGATCTGCCGGCAAGTGAACGAAGCGACGTCCTCCTCACCTTCACGTCGTCCTTCAGCTCCGGTGCCAGGCTGAGCACCAGGAGGTAGTGCGCGTAGGCGGTGCCGAAGTCCTGGGCGCTCAGGCAGTGCTCGGCGCTCCGCAAGGACCGCGACACCAGCTCGTCCCGCCCGGCGGCCCCCGCGCCGCTGCGGGCGCCCCGACGGGGCCTGGGCCGCGAGTTCGGCATGACAGAGCCTCCGCCCTGACACCTCGGTCGTGGGACCAGAGGGAAGATGTCTGACTCAGAGGAACGACAAGACCGTCCCGACGCCCACACTCCGGAGAGCGGGTACGCGGAAGTCGGCCCTCCGCGGCGCGTGTGCGCGCGCACCCCCGCCAGGCGGAAGCCCCGCCCCTCCCTGCGAGCGGGCTCCGCGCGGCGCGACCCCCAACCCCGCAGCTACCGACTCCGGCCGGCGGCGCACGCCGAGCGAGCGAGCGAGCGAGCGAGCGTCAGGGCGCCCGACGTGGGCACGTCGCGGCCCGCCCCGTCGCGTGGGGAGGGAGGCGCAGGGCGTCGCGTGCGCGTGCGCGTGCGCGTGCGCGTGCGCGTGCGCGTGCGTGCGCGTGCGCGTGCGCGTGCGCGTGCGCGGTGGGCGGCTTTGCCGCTGGTCTCTCCTAGTCTCGCGTGCGTCTCGGCGATGCTCTCCGCCCTGAGACAGCTTTTCGGTCCGTCTGTCCTGGCCGTCAGGAGTGTGTGACTTGCGCTGCGGACCGCACGGTGCAGACCCCCTCAGCGCGAAGCTGCACCCGGCCGTGAGGGGCTGAGTGGCTGTGAGGAGAGGTCAGGTGCCTGTGGTGATGCTGAAGACTTGGATCGTGATTCATTAGAGCTCAAAATGGCGACACGGGAAAGAAGTCGGAGGTGACGAACGTACCTTAGAGGTGGTAGAGCAGATGCTTTCACAGGCGTTGTTTCAGATCACCCTCGCAAAACCCCGGGAGGCGGGCCTTTAAGTCACCATCCTAAAGACGGAAAAGACGCCCTGACAGGAGACTTGCCCAATATCACACAGCCAGCCGGTCGATGGAAGAGGCGTGACTCGAACCCAAGTTCCCTGTTCTTTTTTAAAAACGAATTTAGGGTTTAGGGTTTATTTCTCTGATGGGTCACTACTGTAGAGGAACCATGTTAATACATAGAAAAAGCTTTTCTGCCTTCAAGAGTGGCCCCTAAAAAAGATGGATTCGAAACTTTAAAAGTGGAGGGGGAAAGCAGTCGTTTTTGTCCTCATTTGCAAACGTGTCCGTGGTGAATATTTGACTTAACAAATAAGAGCATTTGTATATCAAGCTAACAAACACTGAGGCCTCCTCCACTTCTCTGCCTACTCTGTTGACCCGATCATCTGGACCACCCTTACTCTTGAGCATCTACCAATGTAAGTCCTTCGGAGGCCGAATCACTAGATTCAGAAAGTTCTTCAAAGGCAGTGACTCTTGGTAACCCATTTTTTGTGACTTTGCCTCTAGCAGAGTCTAGCTCAAAGTAAGGACTCAAATTTTTAACGGAACGTACATTCCCCACTAGCAGGTTCTGCTTGTAGATTTTCCCAACCAATGAGGTCCTTAGGTCTCTCCCCTTCTGCATTGCTACTTTTTGTAGTAGACAATTTAAGATAGGACTATATGGTATTTCTCTACCAAGACTGCATTGCTAGGCCTAGTAGGATGTAGTAAAACATGAAAAGGCCACTGAACTTTAAAAAAAAAAAAAAAATGCATTCTGGCCCAAACTCGACCTTTTCTGCACGTCCAATTACCTTTCCTTAAGAAGCATTATTTATAAAAAGGCTTAACAAAGCTACATTTCCTACTTTGGACAGAAGATTGATATAACCATCAAGTGAGACAAATGGGATGTATAAAAGCATTTTATATGTAAAATAAATTTAATGGTAGGCATGTATGTTACTATTATCTAGAGTTATTTTAAAACTAATCTGGATGATTAAAAATTAGGTCACTAACACCTTCAAGCACTTGATCAGAAACAATGCAACTCACATCATAGAAGAGCCTAAAGTAATTGGCTGGAATCTCCCTTCAGAAAGCAAAGGGAGACCTCCCAAGCTTTCTCTGCAGAGATTCAGGTTAATGGAGAATCGTTCTAGTCACTTCTATGAGTCCCTGCTTCAGCTGAATTAACTTAACAGATTATGTTGTAGTCCAGGACATCCCTTCCTATTCCACATGGGCAAGATTTCTTTTTTTTTTTTTTTTTTAAGATTTTGTTGATTTATTCATGAGAGACACAGAGAGACACAGAGAGACACAGGGAGAAGCAGGCTCCCTGCAGGGATCCTGATGTGGGACTTGATCCCGGAACTGGGATCACTGGGATCACGCCCTGAGCCTAAGGCAGGCGCTCGACCACTGAGCTACCCAGGCATCCCACACAGGCAAGATTTCTTTTGTCTTGTTTTATTTTATTTTGTTATTTTGATCTGTTGGTTTATTGACGTAACCTACATCCTTCAACCCAAACACCTAGACCATACAAAGCTTAATTTGGGTGTATATTACCTGTATAGGCTAAGAGATAAAGGAGGGACTTGGCAGATAATGGAGGGTAGGCAGAGAAGAAAGGAAAGGAGCCAACTTCCCTTGTTTCACCATCTACAGTCTCATCCTGTGGATAGTGACTACTGCTAAAAAAGTGCAAGGGATGCCTCCTGCCATTTGTGAAATACATCAGGTACCATTGTGAGCTACTAAGTGTCACTGAATTAAAATGTGATTAGGCTTCATAGACAAAGGGTAAGTTACCTGCATTTCTTTATAGCTTAGACACTACATAGGGTAAGCCATTTGAAAAAAAAAAAATAGAACATACAAATAACATGGAACATCTGGTTACCTTAACAAAATGGAATAAAAATATATTTTGACTATTTTCCTTTATTACCTCATTCCAAATTAAGACTTAGAATTATTCAGATTGTTCATATTTATTGAAGGCTAACTGCATTTACTATATTTCTCTTTCAGAACTTTTGAAAGAGTATTCCATTGCAAAGAACCCAAAAGCATGTTGCAAAACAAATGTAGAATGTAGGTTTTACTTTTTGATCCTTAAAGTTTTCTTTAAAAACATCGAAAGCATCACTGCTTTATTCAGTCACCCTCCCACTCCACAACCAAAACTATAATTTTTAATTTCTTTGAGATGCTATTTGATTCCTTCACTTTTGTGTTCTAGTTCACCGTCTTTTAGGGTTCCGAGTAAAACCCCACTGATTAGAAAACCACTGCTGACTCAGAGGCAGGTTTAACTGTGGCTGTATTTTACCAGGTTATGGGCAGCTTGTCAACAAACCACACATGTCAAACAAGGAAGCAAAACCAACTGAAAGGCTCTGAATCAACTTTCCAATATGCAAAAGTTGAGGGTTAACAGTAAAAAAAAAAAAAAAAAGCTTAACAGGAAGTTAGCAAGGGATAAATAGCTTGCTGGGCACAAGTATCTTGTGTTTATATTTCTGTGGAGATTCATACCTTTTTGTGTGATCTCTTTTGTTTTCTTTTGTGGTTTGGAGCCTTGTTCTGAACTCTGCATTTTAGGGTCATCTGGGGAGTTTTTAAGCGATATCGATGTCAGTCCTTATAGCTGGAGATACTGATTTAATTGGCTTGGATCAGGGGAAGGTCTAGACATGAATACTTTTAAAAAGCTCTCGGAGTTTAAAATGTGTGGTAGGGGTGGGAAATATGCAGGCTTCTATTATATCTGATATATTTGAAGTATTTAGGGTATTGTAGTATAAAGTGTAAGGGCAATATAGGGAGTAGAAACAATTTGCTTATGGCTTAACAAAAATTGTGAAGATTGAACTAAATTCTTTAGAAGTGATTGGTATATGATAAAGAGTAGAATGTTCATCATATTGAATTATTTGTTGGAGAAAAAAATGATAACTGGATCAACAAAACACCACCACCATGGACCAACTGCTTGGGCACTGAAATCTGCATTGATACATTCCCAATGCAAAGCATTTCTTAATTTTCCCAGTTTCTTCAATATTTTTTATTTTACTACAGTTAGGATTATTTTTGTTGTTTTTTAATAGCCCCTTTCTGCTGTTCTGTGTGCATTTCAAAATCTGGAACTCAACGTTAAATACAAAATAATAGACCAGTGCTAAGTTGAGGATCTGTGTGTATAAGGGCCTATAATAATGTGACAATAGTTTCCGAGTTTCAGAGACAATATAAGAGGAGATTCATTTGTTGAGTACTACTGTGCACTAAGCACCATACTTGGTTCTGGAGAACCTGCCTGAATCCCCTGCTAGAGATGCATACCAAGGTGTTGGTGCTGGGACAGACTCCAAGTAGTCTGAACAGAGCATGTCCTAACAAAGCATTCGGGAAAATGCTAAATAAAATCCATTAGGAAGCAAAAGAATCTAAACCCAGGAGTCACTTAAATTCTCTGTAGTCTTCTCTCTTTCCCCATCAATCATGACTAGTCAGGTCTCTGCAAGAAAAAGATTCAAAGGGCTTAACTGAAGAGAGTTTAACCAAAAGACATTTTATAGAGGTGAAGGAAGTTAAGGGATTAAATGTGGTTTGTGAGGTACCCAGAGAACAGCAATAGCTGGAAGATATTACCATCACCTGTCCCTAGGAAGCAAAATAAGAGCCCCGTATTACTAGAACCCAGAAGGAACTGTAGCTATGGAAGAGGGGCCACTGAAGATGTACTGTAAGCAGAGGAGAGAATTCCTTGACCTTTTTCTCCCACTGCTCTCCAGCCCTCAGTAAGATACCATCCATTAAGGGAGCTTGGATGATACAGCCCATAGAATCACGCCCTCCAGAACACAGAACAAAAGAAAGGTCAAAAATGATTCAGTAGATCAAAGGGAAAGTAACCATCATAATTCACCAAGTTTTACCTCTTTTACTCAGTAAAGTTTTTCCTAATCTGCCCTCTCCTCAATGCTTATTACCGTTCTCTGTGTCCATGTTATTTTCATCTTTCACCTCCTGTTATAAAGGCCTTTTCATCATCCAGCCTTCAGTTATGCTCTCCTTAAATTAATCTTTTATGCTGTAACTAGAATGATCTAAAATGCAAATTTCCCATTCAGTGGCTCCCCAAAACCTATAGCTATGTTTTACAAACTTTTTTCTTAGTTTTTATCAAAAAATCCCTAAATCCGAATTAAAAATATAACAGTCTTTCCTTAGGAAAGGGCCATGTTGAATTGTAGGTTTACACCCTGAGATGATTTGGCTTAGAATGTATTACTTGAGTAAATCAATTAAAGATCATCTGGTGTTCCTTAAAGACTAAAAGCCATAAGAATGTTTAGTTATATTGTCCTCCCGGGGCAAAATAAAATAGTTGAGCCACTTAGAATTGAGCCTTAGAGGTAAATGAACTCATAAGGACACAGCCTCAACTTCTTTTGTAGCAATCTTGGAGGAACTGGACCATCAAGGTGCAAGGCTTTCCTATCAAAGGTAGAAATAAAACAAATTGACTTTAAAAAATCTAAGCCCTGGTATAGGCTACGCTTTTTGGGATTAGCCTTTTACATCCTCTGCCTTAAAAGAAGGACTCTCCTTAAGACCCACTTAAAAATACACTATAGCTCAGTGATTGTGAGATCAAATACTGAAGCCAACTGTCTGGTTTTAAATTCTAGCCCTGTCACATACCATCTAGGTATTGTGAATAAGTTAAATTCCTTAATTTCTGTACCTCAACTTCCTCATACATAAAATGAGGATCACACAGTACCTGTATCTTAGCTTTATTGTAAGGATCAAGTAAGTTAACACATTTAAAGTGCCTGAAACATAGGAAGCCCTCAGTTAAGTATTATTAATTGTTGCTGTTATTACTCCAGCTTTCACTGGAGAACTCTAGTTGTTCTCAGAGGAGCCAGGTTTCCACTCAAGAGGAGCCAGTGGACTATCTCTGGCCAGTCATGTAAGTCTTTACACAATGCTGGGATTTTGAGAACTTTAATGAGGGTAAGAAGACAAGTTCTTCCTCTTTTTCCTACTGCCTCTCAAATAAACTGATACGTGTCTCAGAACTGAACAATTAGCACTTAATTTGATTTTTTCTCACAGTTAAGGAAAGGGAAAAAGAGTGCTTTTCATGGTAAAATAGACCTTAAAGGATAGATCGTAAGCTGTGATCACAAGTCCTTTGAAGGTTCTTTGAACTTGATGGAAAGCAGGTGTTCACAGTAGATTCCTATGACCTATTTTTTTTGTGCACAGTACCGATCAGATGTGAACCATGAAAAAGCCATAAAAAACAATACAGAAATAATAACAATGTCTTATCTTGTGCTTTCTCTTCAGAGCAAGTTCTTAAACTGTTCAGTCCTCATGCTTTCCAAAGCCAAAGATATCT